AGTTTTCCTTCTGACAGCAAATTGTTAATCATGTTCTCCTGAAATCCTTGCTTTCATTTAGTAGATTCGGAATTTCTCATAAATTTTAGGAATTTAAATGCGTTTACAGAAATTTCTGGCCAACCAAAGGCAGAAGTTGCCTCTACGCCTTAATTTATAAAGGTAACTTACGTTCTGTGTAATTAATAAACCATGCTGGCCCAAATATCTGAAACCCTCTACTGTGATAACATTCGAATCAGTCACTGTTACAGGGACAGTAATATCTTCAATGTAATCTATAGGGATATTGTAGGTATAGGTATATCGTAACAAGTCAACAGTGAAACTAGCAGACCATGTATCTCGTTTGCGGTGCTTAAAAATCTCCGCTCCCATTTTATTCTTTTGACAGAGAACAAATCATTTTTCCTCCTTGGTTTTCACAGAGTTTTCTTTGCACAGAGAAGAAAAATTGCAGAAGTTTTTATAAATTGATGTTGGTTGGTTTTCCGTGTAAAGAAGAAAGTATGAAAGGAAGTCTACAACGTCGCAAACCGAGATACGGGGTCTGGTAATTCCACCGTCCAACTGTATTTTACAGAAATTACATTGTGAGTATGGAGCTGATCACTAGAATTACTATGCATAGATATGTACCTAGGATAAGGGTGGTTGCAACAGTATTTGTCATGAATGGTCCATGACACCTGCAGAAAAGATCGGTGGTTCCTGAGTGATGATAAGAGGACTCGTAGGTTTCGTTGAAACGCATGATTCTCATATGTATCTGTAGAGGTATAGAGTTTTGGCCTGCTGAGGAGTTGAGTAAATTAGGAGCCATTGCTCATAAGCTGATAAAGTTAGGAGGAAACACGATGAAACTGTAGAACTTTTGATACTTTGAGAATGTAAACAAAGACTCAACCTCAAAAATCTTTCACAATAATATTGTGTACTCAATTTCCAAAAACTCTATGGTTCATGAATTTTTTAATCAAAGGTAAGTAAAAGTTCTCCAACTGGATGAGAGATGGCCGTAGTGATCATTCGACGAAATTCTCTCTGAGCCATTTTACCTATTCATGGAATCAAGTAAATGTAGGTCCCCGTTTATTAGACGATGCGACGCATGAAAAAATGCCAGGCGAAAGCAGTATCTTTTGTTATTGTAAGTCATAAAATCAGGTTGTAGGTAAGAAAACTTCCTCACACATGGAGGTGATGTAACTTTCAACCTCATCTCCTACATAGTCTGGTGGAACACTTATTATCGTCTTACGGTAAGTAATGGAGAAACCTTGTTTTATCGTCTCAAAGCGAGTCCTTAAGGAAGGTTATTTACCCTCTTTACTGAAAAGTAGACAACAGGCCAGTTGAAATTTTGCTCTCATTGAGCGTTCAAATGTCTGTGTTAGGTCTGCGGAGATAACACATAAGGTGTCTTGCAATGAATCTGACGGAACCAAATTCACCAGAGAGTGAATGAGTAAATGAGTCATGAAACCTAGAATTTTTAGTACAAATAAGAGGCTAACACATACCTTTGTTATGGAGCAATGTGAGAGGTAGAATGTAGCGGTTTCAGAGTAGAGTGTTATAAGGAAGATTTATGAAACTGTCGGTGCCGCAAAAAATCTTAGACTTTGAAAGTACACAATTTTCTGCTACTTCAGATATCTCAGATTTTTTGACACCTAGTTAAACTCAATAATTAGAAGTTGTGAACTGACAGGGATGTGATGACGACATCGCTTTGAGAATAACAGATATTCTATGATCAAGGATACACTCGAGCGGTCCTTTTCATAATTTGCAGCGATGAGGTGGTGACAATTACGAAGGTACAAATCCCTGCGCTTGAGCTGCGCAAAATGCTCCAGTCGTTTATCTATGCTATTCAGCATAAAAATGCAAACCGTGTTGTAATTGGTGCTTGAGAACAACTGTGGTACACTAGTATAATGAAGCATTTTGCATGTATCGCAAATGGCAGATCTCCTACCTGACATACTTTAATTAACCCAAAAACACTAAAACAGTCTCTGAGGTAGCATGATAATTGGTCAAATAATTTCACAGCATTATACTTCAGAAACTTTCACAAACTTCACGAGGTGGGCAGAACGAGTCTGAAGACAAGACACGACATACGTTGAATAATTCCAAAATATTATGCTTCAAATTTCAGACAATTTCACAATCTTAAATTTCACAACACAATCTTAAACGAGGCGGATGGATTATGGAATTAATTATGGATGGAGGGAGATGGACGAAATATGAAAACACAAAGGAGTAAGCGAGACGCGAGAAGCAAATACGGGAGAGTAGTGTCATCTGAATCTGAATCGCGGCTATGTACCTACAGAAAATGAACATTGATCTTATTAAGCCAGAAGAGGGCCAAAGACGCCAAAACTCATGAACCAATCAGAGAAGGGCAAAAGGATGGCAATACTCTCCAGTACCTAGGTCAAAGACACATAACCTAGATGTAGGCGAATTCTACTAAGGTCTCCGAATAAGGTTATCACCGGTGGAAAAGTTTTCGGAAAACAGAACGCGAATCTTGAACTTTCAGAAGTAATTATAGGATAACTATAAACCGCATAGCAAAGAGAGTTTTAGGACTGTTATTTATTTCTTACGCTAATTTGCATTTAATCGTATTCACAGAGGCATAATGAGGTAATCAAAAAAAAAAAAAAGTAAAAATGGCGTTTCGTGCATCGATGAGTTGGTGCGCCATTTGATCGCTTGAGCGCCCTACTATACTAGAGCTCTAGTGGCAAATCGAAATCAAAAAGCGCCGCCTATCGGCTGAGCGCTTAAAACGATTACGTACGGCTGATGACGCGTCTAATTTTAGATTTAGGGCGCAAAAATCAGAAATATTCGACAAGAAATGACGCGAAAAGCTTTCAAAGCTCTCTACTATGATGCTCAACCAGTACTTTTTTTCGGCGCTGATGCAAGTTAAGAGCGGAAGAGGCTGAAACTTTCACGTCAGCCTGACTTATGTCTCTTTCAAGTTACGCTTTTTCCAGACTTAAAAAATTTGAGTCGACTCTAATTCCATGTAGCAGAGGGGGATATTATTTTAATGGATAGTTTTAGTCAAAGTTGAAACTCTACAGGACAAAAACTACCTGTCAAATGTTCAAGTCAATTAACACGGCTCGGTTTCAAAGTCAAGGACGCGAAAAACTAAAAAGTTCAATTGTTTTTTTTACGAGGTTGCCGTAAATTTAAAAAAAACCGACATTTTGTATAAATATAAGGAGTAGAACACGAAGTAACTTAAGCGTGTGGTCAATATTTTTGGGTTTGTTTTTCTTCGAGTAACGTTGACCAAATCTCTGAGTTACGATGGATGATCCAATTTTCTACCCAAATCTTTGCCTTAAAAATTCGTAACTTCGTTAAAAATTAGGCAAAAGCCACCTGTATCGGGTAAGTCACTCGCAAATCTCAACCTCAGTATGATATTGAGAGGAGCGAAGTAGATTGCTGCCATGCTAAGGAAGAAAGCCGTATGAGCATTCGAGACTTGCCAAATTTCCACGGATAAAACAAGTATTTTTGAGGAAATCTATGTATATTTTTCCGTGAAATTGTCCTATATTTTAGAATTAATTGCAAAGAACATAGTGTGAAAAATTTCAGAGAGGGAATTTGGTAACGGCTGGAAATTCATACGGCGTTTTTCCTTGACATGACAGATTTATTCGGCAGAACATTTTCTTCAACTCGAGATGTCTCGGTGTAACCTAAGGTTTTGGTCGATCTAACCAAAAATTGAGTCGATCGACAAAATCCTTTACGTTGATCAAGAAAAAAAATAACGAAGTAATCCGAAGTAATGATGAACACGGAGATTTTCAACCGTGTAATTTGTCTCGAGTTGATCTTCCCTTCAAATTTTTCTCTCCTCTTTTTTTTTTTTTTTTTTTTTTTTTTTTTTTTTTTTTTTTTTNTTTTTCTGTTGTTTTATGACTTTGTGTCTAAGCACCTGCAGCCAACTTTAGACTAGTGTGATAGTGTAGAGAGAAGGTTACAGGTGGCTAGTTACCGACTTTAGAGGTGTGGGAAAGAAAAAACTAAAAACATGGAAAAAGGTGAGGGATTGATAAAAAAGAGGAGTTGAGTAGAGAGAGGGTGAGAACCCTTCACCATTTTCACGCTCTGATACCCGGCAGATTCTCTCCTCTTAAGATTGCCAGAAATGACCCGCAGTCCTAGTTACCGTAAAACAGGGTTGCCACAGAATTTAGAAAATGATATTCCCTGACATTTCCCAGGCATATCTTCATGAAATTCCCTGACAATGAAGATGTGACGAATGGTTAAGAAGACATAATTGAAAATAGTTTCCGGGCAAAATTTCTTGCTCAAAATCTCAAAACCACTGTAGAAAGTAAATGAAGGTGACTTGGCAAATTTTCCCTGACATTTTCATCATTTTCCCTGACATTTCCCAGTTTTCCCTGACTTTTTAACATTCCCTGAGAGACCCTCCACTAGTATTTTGGCCATGGTGGAAGCTTTAACGTTCGGGACTTCAGCATTCTACTGTTGACTTACCTACATGGTTAATGGTTAAAAACGTGTTGGCAGTTTCGTTTCGCAAACAAGCCAAAAATGGCCGAAGTTTAGGAAACTTGTTTGGCTTATGACGTCACCCGAAGCTCATCATCGACCATGTAGGTAGGTCAACAGCCGAAATTAGGGTGATGACTGTTGCTCCCTGATAATTGTTCATAAGGAACTGTTGAATCCCCAAAAGTAAAAGCTTCATCCTGTCGCCAAGAGGCCAGTGGAGGGTCTCTTGTATCTGCATTTCCCGGTTTTCCCTTACTGCGGCAACACTGGCCGCATCGCGCAATTACCGGGAAAAGCATCGATCAAACGTTAACAGAGATTGAACTGAGGATAGATGCGTCAAAAACGTGACTTTTCCCGGGCAAAAAATGCCGTAAGCATTAACTCTCCTCCCCACGTCACACACATTCGCCGTTTATAAAGTCGGGCGCGAATTTTCCGACTATCAGTGTGACTGTGGTAGTGATGTTCGTATCCAAGCAGTTTCTCTTTTGCGCTTCGGCGTTTTTCGCTGTGCAGGTTGGTTAAAATGACTGTGCTTTTGAATACAAAAAAACGCAGCCTACTCGTTCATTTCAAAATACAACATACGTGATATAGTTATGATATATTAAGGTGCTTCGTCAAGCTCAAGTGACGTGGTCGAACTCGCATGCGATATATCGCATCGATTGGGTCAAAAATCTTGGCGGATTTTGAATTTTTTGAAAAAAAGGACGATTGCCCCTGCGCATGAGCCGAAAGAATCATTCTAAACCCAAAAAACGGTAAAATACAGAGAAAGGAAAGCAGAATAGTGTTTCGAAAAAAACCTCGCATTCTATACAGAAATCGATAGCTGAATCGAATGCGAGGTTTTTTCCCGAACACTACTCTGCTTTCATTTCTCTGAATTTTGCCGATTTTTGGGTTTAGAATGATTCTATAGGCTCATGCGCAGGGGCTATCGTCCTTGTTTTTGCTAAAAATTCAAAATCCGCCGAGATTTTAGACCTAATCGATGCGATATATTGCATGCCAGTTCGACCACGTCATTTGAGCTTGACGAAGCACCTGCAGTTTTCAAGTATAATATCTGCAGTGATTAACTTTCATTTTACAATGGTTTGTAGCGTCCCGCTGTGATTTACTTTTTTTTCCTTTGCAAGGGGTGAAAAATTGTTACTCTTAGGTACAATATTCCAAGTGAACTTCTGCGGGATAGTGAAATTTATAGACGTATAATAATAATCATTAGTTTAACAATATATGAGGCCTTATATGTAAGAAAAATTATCTTTTCGAAACGCGCTTAAAAAACTGTTTTGCTCACACAAAAATGTAATATGTTTGGCTCTGGCATAATGTACAGATCTCGAAGATCACATCTCAAGTATTTTCGCAAAATTTTCTCGATGCCAAAACAGTTTTTTTTATGTGTTTCGAAAAGGTAATTTTTCACATCCGCCATTGTTACATAGAAGTCCTCATATGTTCAATTACTAATTTTGATAATATACAATTTCTTTCATTCCCTCGGTTGTGAAATTCTTGCATCGTGCGTAAGAGCGACTCTAGGTTTAGAGGGCCATCAGTTGGACCGCGTTAAGCAGAAAGGAACTAAGCCGCATCAGCTACAACAACCTACATCGGCCATACAAACGTTCTCTAGTAAAAAATTAAATTTCCCATTTAAATTGGCAATGGCTGATGGGGCTTGGTTCCTTTCCAATTAACGCGATCCAGTTGTGAGTACCATTCCTATGGCCGCGATGATTCGCAAAGATATACATTGCTTTAAATATCTGATTTTCCGTCATTATAAACCCCCTCCCCCCGGTCTACTTGAACTCATTAGACGTATGTCTCGTTTTTCTAAGGTGTATCTATACCAGAGACAAGAGATCCTTCATTTTGCTATCTTGGCAATCGAGGTGGAGGCTTTTACTTTCGGGTCTCCAACAATCAACTACTGACTTATGTTGAACAACGTGTTCGGTATTTCGATTCGCAAACGTGCCGATGTTTGGTAAACTTGTTTGACCTCATTACGTCACTCGAAGCTCATCATCCATCTAGTAGGCAAGATGACTGTTGCTTCCACATAACTGTCCATGAGAAAGTGTTGAATCCTCGAAAGCATTTTCACCTATCGCCAAAATGTGATCATGTGCCCTTCGTGCATTTGGGGATTCGCCTGTAGCCTAACTCAGCTTACCACGACGATCTCACAGCTAACCTATGACCTGATAATGCTTGATCAGAAGTTCAACAATGTGATCAACTTTTAAATCATTTCTAGCACAACGTAAAATTATCACCTACATGTGTCGAATTGAAAAAAAAAATCTTATGCATGTTGCACCACGAAGGACGGCTCAATGACAACACATCATGTATCTAAGAAAAAACAATACATTCATTCGAGGCAACATGAATTGATTAAAAATCTATTTCAATGTAAAGAATCATTTTCATATATGTACATACACTGAAAAAAACTCCGGCTGTGGGAGCCGCAATCACGGGCTATATAGACATACCGTCCGTTCCGGGCTCAAAGGCCGAAAATTCCGGCTGCTGGAGCCGTAGCTTCGGCCTCTGAACCCGGAGCAATCGAAGCTACGCTACGCCTCCAGCAGCCGGAATTTTCAACCTTTGAGCCCGGAACGGACGGTATGTCTATATAGCCCGTAATTGCGGCTCTCACGGCCGGAGTTTTTTTTCAGTGTATAAAACTTGTTTTCCTCTTCCTCTTCCTCTCCCTCTCCCTTTTCAAAGAGTGATTTTGGAATCGTGAGTTTCCATCAGTTCTACGTCAGCCAGTTTTGATGGTTCAAGAGCGACAATTTTCTACCCTCCTCCAATCGGTCGTGTATCTCTAACGAATTGGTTGAAGCTTTCACGCTATCGCGTGTTAATCTATCAGAGGTAGCCATCACACGTCATTTTCCATTAAATGTTTCGCGCGTTGGCAATTCTTGGTATGCATTAGCTTCCATTCCACTCCGTAAGCTTTTTTCTCCGCAAAAGTGAGTAAATTGCTGCCAACACTTTCACTCCTAACATGTTTTCGGGAAACTGTTCCCGACAGGCCAGAAAAACAGCGAAAAAATGGCGAGATTGAACGCTTTAAACCACGGTTTCCGTCGATCCGTCGGTACACAGTGTCACTGATATGGCAGTGCTTTCCAATCATGATCACTGAATTTTTACAACGCAGATTATGTCATGTTACATTGGGCACCAGTTTTCCTAAAGTTTTTGAAACTTTCAAATGAGATGCCCCTCGGAAGTGTTTTCACCCTGTGGCTCTTGGCGGTGCAAGTGTCAAGAACCCAAGACGTAACCCAATACGTCTAATTCAAACTTAAGCAAGAGCAAAAACAGGAGTTGTTTCTTGTGAAAAATGACTAAAAATTACGATGAGCGCAACGGGAAAGTCTGGTTTACACTCCTAACTTGAAAAGAGCCTCTCAAAAATAGGGCTGACTTTTGCCCCTTTTCCGGTATTCGATTCGACCATCAAATCAAGGTTTAAGTGGAAGCTTATAATAACAGAAAACTCGGGAAAAAATGTAAAGATGAGTATTGGAACCGTTTTCGAGTTACGGGTGGGCAAAGGGTCAAACTCCGGCAGTAGTTTTCGCTACTTTCTTGTCGAATAACTGTGTCTACGGGGTTGTTATCGTTGTTTACACATGTTATACACACCGGTTCCTACGTATTATTCCACGCAAAATCGAGTTCTAATCGAGTCTAATCGAGTTGCCAAATGACATTGCTGTAATTCGTACTTCGTTGCCTGATGTCAATGATTCGCCTTCAAATGGCCGGGTATGCAAAATGACTGCCGTGACGCACGAATAGTGGTATCAAAATTTTGCATTAAGTTTATGGATTGATTTGAAGGCGCTCTTCTGTATCCATTGTGAGTGGCCTTGTACAATGATGTTGACAAAAATGTTCGTAATTTTGGGTTTTAAATTGAGCCGCATATTCGAAAAATGCCGAGGAATATTATTTTGAAAAAATAATAAGATTGTTTTAGGTCCTTACGTCTTATTGCAAAGAAGAGAGTGCAGACGGCTGGATCAGGTTGTGTCTTATAAGTCCCTTGGTTCGGTCATCGTATTCTGAAGCGAAACCGGAATCTTTAAAAAAACTGGAAACTCTTTACCACAAATCCTACTTAACCAAAAACCTGATCTAAACCTGCTAACCAAAACTTTACTCAATCGGTAATCTTACCCACCGGAAACTCAAATCGATCGACCAATCGTCTGGCCGAATTTTACTTGACCGGAAATCGACAACCGTAAACTCTGCTCGACCGGAAACGTGCTCCGATCGAAAACTTGACCCAACTGTAAAACCTTGTTGAATAATTTTCAAACCTCGCGCTTTAGGATGCTACACAATATCCAACATGGCTGACGCGGACGCCTACCCGCCAAAACAGCCGTGACGATACGGGACTTCATCAACCGGCGCGGCGTGCTTATATTTATGTCGCAGGCAAAAAGTCAAATCAGGCATTTTGCCAAATGCCTAGGCAAATAGTCAAATATTCTAGCTAAGATTGAAATTCTGTTTATTTTCCTAATTTTAGACAAAATAATTAATTAAGCCCGTGAGAAAAAATTCTCAGTAAAAATTTGCATCACAAAATAGTATTTCAAACGATTTGTGGCTCCTGAGTAGACACTTATCTTGAAATTTTCAGCATGTCAAAGAATACAGTATTTTTAGGATTTCAACATTAAAAAATATGAGAAGCAATTGAAGAGGAAGAGACAAAAAGAGTTTGTAGGTTTGTTGAGATATTTTTCCACAAATATTGAAAACTCGTGAGCTCTTCGCCATAAATTCACAAAATTTTGTTGGCACTCAAAATTTAGCTATTTGCCTGCCTAGGCATTTGACAAAATGCCTGATTTCACTATTTGCCTGCGACATTTACATTTCCTTGCGTTGATAAAGATCCCATGGAGCTTCCTTACGATTTGCGCGTGGAAACGTCAGGCGTTTTGAATAGTGTAAAAACGAATAGTGTGTGGCAATCTATGAAGCGCAAGGGTTTGATGGAACGACTCCTCTTAGGAAATGTTCACTTGTGTTGTCGTATCGTTTCTAAGGACGGAAGCTTATAAAACGCATATTTTTTAAGCAGATTGTGAAGTTGGGAGTGTATTTTAGTCTTCTCGATGCGTTCTTCGAGAATTTTGCGACATTTACGAAACAAAACGACTCTTCTTTTTGCTCTAGCTGAAGTTTGAAACGGGTCCATTCTGAACGCCGTATGAGTCATAAGGCGTTGCCAATTTTCCCTCGACAGAGCTCGAATTTTCCGGAAAATATAAGAATATATCTCTTCCGATTTCTCTGAGAATTTTGTTCTCGATTTGATTTAAAAAGTCTGAAAATTTCAAAGAAAATGATTCATAACTTCCTTCAAAAATTAATACTTTCTGAGCAGGATATCCGGCGGCAATGAGGGCTCAAACGGTGTCTTCCCTGATCACGGCAGTTTTCTCCGGACACTCGGACCCGTGTTCCAGGCGCTAACCGTGGCAATTGAAGATATGACTGATGGTTAAGAAGGCATAATTGAAAATAGTTTTCAAGAAAAATTTGTTGTTCGAAACCTCAGATCCATAGTAGAGAGCAAATGAAGGTGATTTAACAAGGACTCCCTGAAATTTTCGTCAATTTCGTAATTTTCCCTGACATTTTTGTCATGTCCGTCATTTTCCTTGGCTTTTCAGTCATTTTCGTTATTTTCCCTGACATTTTCGTTATTTTCTCGACATTTTCCGGGTTTCGCTGATTTTTTAAAACTTTCTGACATTTCCTGGTTTTCCCGGGTTTCCCTGACTGTGGCGACCCTGTTTTCCCTAGAGTACCTATATAGGGAGAGTACGGACAACTCGAATTATGTAGCTCTTAGGGCCCAAAAGGGTAGGTAACCTTTGAAAACGAAAATTGTCACTGTCATTCTTTAGACTCTAATATCAAACGAAAATGGACGAGAAAATTCATAAGTATGCATTTTTCCGCAAAAATGAGTAAGTTTATGCAAAAACCAAGTCAAATACGTGCTTTACCAACGACAGGTCCCAACAATTGTGATTATAAATCACTCTGGATAATTTGAATTTATGGATTGCCTACCCTTTCGGGGTCCAAGAGCTCCATCACCTAACCTCAAAATTTTCGACGAGTCCATACTCTCCCCATATACACGGAGAAAAAAAACCTCGTGCGTGGGACCCGAAGTTTAGATCATATGGATCTCTGAAGTTTTCGGATTGAGCATCCGAACACTTAAGGTCTAGCTGTCGAAGTTCAGGTCTGACATCTGAAACTTCAGTTCTTACATCTGAAGTACTTCAGTTCTTACATCTAAAGTACTTCAGATGTGAGAACCGAAGTTTTTCGGATGTGAAAACCGAAGTTTCAGATGTCAGACCTGAACTTCGGCAGCTAGACCATAAGTGTTCAGATGCTCAATCCGAAAACTTCAGAGATCCATATGATCTAAACTTCGGGTCCCACGCACGAGGTTTTTTTCTCCGTGTAGGTACTCTAGTTTTTCCTATCACACTGGAGTTTTCTTCTAACACTGTGACCGGTGTTCCAGGTGCTGAGCGTGGACGGCGGGCCAAGCCTTTCGGGTCGCGGTCTGTTCGACGCGGTGACTGACCCGATCGGGACCCTGAGCAACGGCGTGAACCAAGTGGACAACGGACTCCGAAGGGTGCGTGCGGCCGGGAGAAGCGCCCTCGTGGGCACCGTCGGGAAGGGCGTGGAGCTGGCCACCGGCGTCAACCCGGCCAACATCCTCGACCTCCCCAAGAACGCCGCCAAGACGGCCATCCGCGGCGCCCGCCTCGGGACCCAGGTCACCGCCGGCGCCGCTCAAGGAGCTCTTGATACCGCCCTCGACATGCACGATCGCAAGAAGCAGCTTTTGGAGGTACGTTCGTCAACTCAAGCATCAGATACACCTGCGAGCTAAACGCGCGACTAGACGCCGAAAGTAGGATCCGATCCTACTTTGAGCGTGTTAGAGGTGTCGTCAGCTAAGTTGACGGTTGTTTACTTTCGGTTTGCAAGCGCCAACGACGAATTTGGGCCTCTGAACAAAGCGGCGTTCGCTACTATCCACATTGAAACCATCAGTCTCATGATCGTATCGTAAAAAAAAAAATACTTATCAGTTATGATTTGCGACTTTTTTGTGGTTGTGATTTCTGAGTGGCTAAAAATTAAAGTGTTACAAGGTTTGAAAGTATTAAAAAACTTATCTAAGCTTATGTTCTTGCTTCTGAGAGAGTCAGATGTTTTCATGTGGATAGTAGTGACGCGAAAACGCCTGCAAACCGAAAGTAAACAACCGTCAACTTAGCTGACGACACCTCTAGTGGCGGCGAGCTGCAACCTGATTGGCTACGGAGATTGCCGGACACGGCCGTAGGTCTACTCGCCGCTCAAGGCGATTCTCGACAAATTCTAGAATTTCATATTCTTCCAAGTTCCCCTCGACTATTTACGGGGGAGTATCTTTACCTGTGACTTCTCCGGAACTCACAGGAGAAAAAGTCTCTTGGACCCAGAGGCTAGAATCTCAAAACATTTGACAAGACAAAATACTCTTGATTCAATCGCTATTTGTTTAAATCAACAAGAGGAAGATGCTTGGCTCTCGATTTAAGCAAAAATCCGATTGAATCAGTATATTCCTTGTCAATTTTTATCAGAGTCTGGACTCTGGACCTACACCGAAAAAAAGGTGTTAAAAGTGTGTTACAACTCTTGGGTGTTGTTATTAACACTCTGATGTTAACACTGGGAAAAAAACCTCTTGGACCAACGCCGCATTGCATTGACTTAAGAGTGCAGTTTCTTGTCGCCGGATTTAAGAGTCTTGAAATCTTGTTTCAAGCGGATTTTGCATTGATTCAAGCGGATTTTGCATTGAAACAAGAGTCCAGACTCTTAAATCCGGCGACAAGAAACTGCTCTCTTGAACCGAGAGGTTTTTTTTTTACCAGTGAAAGTAACATCCTAGGATGTAAAAGTAACATAAAAGTAACATCCTAGGATGTAAAAGTGACACCCAAGGACGTAAAAGTGACTTACTGACACCATCCAAGAGTTATCGCAAATGTTTTGTCAACTGGGATGTTACTGCAGCACCATTTTTTTCCGGAGAGAGAGACTTTTCTTCCAGTTCCCATCAGCCTATGAGTTCACCGTTCTGACTTCCCTTTGCAGGACTGGGTGCTCCCCGTGGCGCCGACGATGGTAGGCGACGCGATCAACGGCGCCAACAACGTCTTCGACTCGACGGTGGTAGGTCTTCAGGACCGCGTGGAGAACGGCAAGAACCACGTCGTAGGACGGCTCAACGCTGCTGAGGACTGGCTCGATAACGGACCTTCCCTCGTCCCGAACGTGGTCAAGGACGGCCTCTCGACAGCCCGCTCGGCCGGCAACTGGCTCGGCTCCTGGATCCCCGGATGGTCCTCCACCGGAGCCCCGGCGGGTGCAGGCGGTGCAGGCGGTCAACCCGGTCAACCTGGGCAACCTGGTACGGCTGGCGGTAATTGGTTTGGTTGGGGTAGTCTGGGCGGTCAGGCTCGCGGTGGGCAAGGCGGTAAGGGCGGACAGCCAGGTCAGCCCGGGCAGAAGGGACAAGACCGGAGCGACGCGCAGAACGGACAACCCAAATCCAGAGGGCTGTCCAGTCTCTTCGGATGGTAGGCGAAAGAGGGAATGAAGACCTAGTTCCTCGTTAAGTCTAAGCTGGGTATGTTGACATGAAATGGATACAACTACATCTCCCGAGTGGCAAAGTGCAACGAAAGTATTGAGATTAAACTGCAATTTGATCTCAATAAAATTGTAATTTTCTTACCATTAAATTGCAATATTTTTACATCATTTAGTCGATTTTTGCCGATTTTAAATAATTAAAAAAATGAGTTCCATGTGTCAGAAAAATTGGCAATATGCGATGCAATGAAAAATTGCAACTTATTTCAATTTTATTGCAATGAGTTTCGATAAATGGGGCCCCTTCAAATAGGAGCTAGGCAACATGCACAACACTCATTGGAATTGAAATATTTTTGCAATGTAATTGCTTCTCATTGCAATCTGTGCTACTTCGGCTACGGGTTGATTGTTGATATTGATAGAAAAAGCGATGGACACAGCAATAGGCAAAGAGGACAAAGGGAAAATGGAGCGATCCTATTGGTTGAAGTTGGTAGACTCAGGGAGAAAATGATGGACTAAATACAGGATTTCTCGAGGGTTCCTGTTAATTATCCGCATCTTTCTCCCTTTGTATTCTCTGTCTATTGCTTTGTCTATAAAGTTTCAATGATCAACCTGCAGTCCTTTGACGCTATTTAAATACTTTTTTCGCAATAAATGCTTTTTCGGAGGAGACTTTGGAGATTTCACAACATTCGAATGATATCCCTAAAATCGGTCCACTCATGTGAATGTGGCCCTGGTACCAGTTGTCTCGTTTTTACTAAAAGCCGATCATCTACAACTCGACGAGCAGCAATATACTTATTTGACCAATGAACATGCACGATAATTAAATAACGATTTCTGGGACAGATTCAACCAAAGTCGCGGTCTGACTGCGATTGGATTGCACTTTGCAATAAGGAAGCACCATCTCTGGCCTTTCCATAAAATCACCTCTCTGCATAGGGAAACCAATGACATACATGCTGTTTTTAAAACGAGCCAGATACAGTGGTTCCTTATTGCAAAATGTGGTCCAATTCATACTGCCTGACTTGATTTCAATTTGTATTTTATCAATAAAGTTCCAAACAATATGACGCCTGGAAAATTTTTGAGAATTTTCTCTGAAATTCAAAGAGTATAAATCGACCAACTTCAAGTCAGAGTGTTTAATATTTTCTCAACGAATAAATAAAACGAGAGAAATTTGAATCAAATTTTGCAATATGAAATCACTATTTCTGGTTCCTTTTAGAAATAACATGTATGCAATTGGTTTCCCTTTGCAGATATGTGCTTTTTTAGGAGAGCCAGAGATAGTGGTTCCTTGTTGCAAATAGTAATCCAAGTAGGCAACGTCTGACGTAGTTGGGCTGCTGACCCCGGTTCAATCTGTCCATACGCAAACTGGACTTTGATTCAGATAGGTCTTTTCTCGTCCGACTCGCGATGGCAAAATGTCACTACCGGACTGCTGGCTTTCCTCGAGTTCGAAGGGACATAAGATTCAAAGGATGCATGAGATGCTTCTGACTGACGCGAGACACGACATGAAAGCTTTCGAAATTCTAGACCGTTCCGAAAGGGAAGGAGTGGGAAGTATGGAATCTCTGTGAAAATGTGGGCGACATCAGGAATTTACTGTGAGGAAAAAGCAAAAGATAGGGCAGCGTTTGGATATTTTTGTATATTCAAGATGCAGATCGATAGGAAATTCGCAAAATACGTATTTCGATTGAGAAAACTCAAAATGCTTTATGTTTTTTTCTTCTCGTTTTTGTTTTTTATTTATTAATTTATTTTTTTCAAAATGAACCAACTATAGCAATATTGTTCAACATTTTCACTGAATATTCTGTGCAGGATGAGGAAAACTTAAGAGTAATAGTTGAATATTCTGTGACGGATAGGGGCAAATTGAGGCGTTGGATTCAGAAAGGGCGTTTCTTGATTGCGGTGTTTCAGAATCTTCAATGCTAATTTACATTCTAGAGAGGTAATTATTGAGTGAATTTTTCTGAAATTTTTCTATTCTGCATTGTAAAATTATGAGGAAACTTCGGTTAACGTTTCAACGAATTCCACACATTTGCTTCAATCATAATGGATGAAATGTTCAAAAAGATTTCGAGTCACCTCAACCAAGAAAAGTCCTTCTTGCACCCAGCGCTTCAGTTAACATTAATAATTCTAAGAGATTGTATTCGTAGTTTTCCTTTTAATAAAAACGAAAATCAGACAAGAAATCCGTTAGTAAAAAAATTGAAGTGTTTTGCGCATTGTTGAGATTCTGCGTGGACATGTTTACAATACAGGTGAGGTATAATCATCATCAGGAGTGGGATTCTTCTCTTCAACAGATATCCTTTAGACTTATCGAGAGGCTAGGTTAAAAAATGAAGAGCTGCGGGGAAAAACTCATGAATGTAACTCAGCAATTGTGATCAATCGAAGCCGCGAGCGTTAGTTGTACAACTGATCGTAATTCAATCAAAGATTCACGTGTGGATTTAATCTTTGAATGTAAGTAATGAAATCAGACTTTCGGTTTGTTTTCTGTGTGTCTTAATTTTTTTGAAAATATATAGCAGTTTTCGTTTGATTGAATTCGGTGCGTATTCGAAATTTTTCAATCCCTTGCGCCTATTCATCATAGATAACATATCGATGATCAAAGTGGAAAACCTCGTTCGTATCTCCATTACAGAGTTTCAAAATTTCCGCTACTGTGTTATTTTTTCGAAGGAAAAAAATCCAACTTTATAGCTTGAAATATATGCATAGGATATTTTATATCAGAGAAGAAAAATCATGGAATTTGACAAGAATTCAAGTCGAATAGTTTTCCGAAGAAAAAATAAAATATGGCAGGAAGTATGCGACGTTGCAAACGTAGATACGTGATTTCACACTTTGACCATCGATATATGTACAGGGTGGTTGCGAGAAGAGGAATGTAAGTACATTTCAACCTCTTCGCAAGCAAGTGCAGTTAAAGAGACTGCAATTTGCAAAACGGAACTAAAAGTTTTAGCTCATACATAAATTCACCCGTCTGTATAAGGAAACTAAAGGCGCATGATGTTTCTAAAATGAGCCAAAAATTGCAAGTCCTTCAAGTGCCAAATGTAGTCCAAATGAGAGTCGTGACGAAGGTGCGACCTTTTAAACTAAAACTGTCACTAAAATATCTTTCGATTCTATACGAAAATCAGAATTTCAGACAAAGATGCACACCGTAGAAAAAATAGTTTTTTTGGATCCAGAGTCCAGAGTTTTAAAAAATCATCCGGTTTCAATCCGATTTTTGCTTGAAAAAAAGGCAATGCGCTTAAATTAGGAGGCTCGGCTCTCGATTCAAGCAAAAATCCGATATTATTTTCTCTTGTCAAATTTTTCTGAGTCCGTACTTCGGATCAAAGAGGCTTTTTTCCAGTGCAGTTACTTCCCCAAAAAATTAAATTTTTAAATCCAGTCAATTTTGCAACAATGGAATAGAGTTACGTTCTTTCGTCTGATAAACGAAGAACTTAACTCTACAAGTGCGCTTTAGCATGGCGTATTTTTCATTCCAGTGAAAGTCCCGAGTCGCATTTCCACCGCGGAAAAATCCCCCCCACCCGCGACATTTAGCTCATCCCTTCTGCAACCCCCCACCCCCTCCCGGCATAACTTACCACGCAGAAAATCGAGAAGGCTCCTCTTGGCAGAACGATAAGAATTGGCTACCATTACGCCGAGTTGCGGAATGGGCTCGATATTCTTGACGATTTCAAAGTGAAAATCGCTGATTTTTAGCGGGAGTTTGCGACGCTGCGCGGGTACTTTCGTGGTCCTATTTCGTTTGCCTATTAAAGGCGGATGTCCTCGGGAGGGTTGAGCTTTCGCGAGCGGGGGTGGCAAGGGAGGGGGGGTTGGGGACGGCTGCTCTTTTTTGGATCCGTCTTCGAAAGGGTGCATTTTTACGAGCGAAAATACCTTCCATGATAAACGATCCTTCACCTGGAAAGGTGAATTTCGGCGTATTTTAAAAATAAAAAAGTCTTTTTTTTCAACGTCTGGTGGAGAAATGCTGAGTGATTTTTTGATTTTTGAAGAGTACCCAAAGTAAGCAAAGGAAGCGAAGAAGCAATATTAGTATAACAAGGTATCTACAAACTCACAGGAAAAGGATTCTTGAACGTTTTCAGATTTCTGTGACTTAAACTGATCAAAATTTCCAGAGAGTTTACCTCATCAATTTGCATATGCGCAAAACTTAGAGTGTACCTTTCACTGGAAAAAAACACATTGGATCCAGAGTCCAGACTCTTGAAAACATTGACAAGGAAAAGGACTCTTGATTCAATCAGATTTAAGCCTAAATCAAAAGGAAATCCGCTCAAATTAAGAGGCTTGGTTCTTGATTTAAGCTTGAATCTGATTGAATCAAGAGTCCATTTTCTTGTCGATGTTTTTAAGAGTCTGGACTATAGATCCAATGTGTTTTTTTTTCCCAGTGTTTGATAAACACTCGGGTAGTCACAGAAGCTAATAGAGAAATACTGACTCTGCCACGTGTACCTAACATATTTTTAGGAAACTACCTGGCTTTCGAGACACTGAGGGACGCAAAAAAATTAAATTACGATATTTGACAAAAATCGTGAAAATTTGCCGTCTTTATTAACGCAATGTGATCCCGGTCATTTAGGTTAACCCTGATTGTTATCAATCTGAACTTGAAAAAGTGCGATATATTTCACCGGCCAACATAAATCGACGGTGTAAGTCGGCAATCACATAACTCGTTTGCGGTGTCTGAAAATCTCCGTCTCTATGTTATTTTTTTAAAGGAGAACAAACTGACATCATTCCTTGAAGTTTTTGCAGAATTTCCTTCGCACGGACAAGAAGAATCACAGCAGTCTTAGAAAATTGCCGTTGAGGAGTTTTCTGTTAAAAAATAAAGTATGACAGGAAGTCTGCGACGTCGCAAACCGAGTTTTGTGATTGCCCACATACACCATCGAAATATTATTTTGTAAAAAAAAGAGGAAAAAAAGGAAAAACCTGGAAAGAGACAATCATATTAATGGTCAACAGAGTGAAAACAAATCAAGTAAAATAAACGTACACATAAGGTCAATAAGTAACAAAAAAAAACATGACATTCGGCTTTCCCGGTCGAAACT